GGCGTCGGCGCTAACGTGCCCAGCCATTGCCATTGGTGCCGTCACTCCGGCCCCTTCACTGTGCTTCATTCTTTTTCAATTCTCCTTCTCGTGAGCTAAAAAGTTTCAGAGAAGAAAGAAAAATCTTAGGGAAAAACAGACTCTCAGTGGGGATAGCTTCAAGTCTTATTCGCGGTTTCAGTTTGAGATCAGCCCATGGCATGGTGATTAAGGCGACTGGAGCCTGCATGGCCGACCACGTGGTTCGAGTCCTCAACCAGCAGCTTAAAAGGCGCACCGGGCACGTGTGCACCTGTCTGGGACCCCGGAAGGAGGGCGAGGTGGCAGAGAAGGTGTTGGGACGTGGCCATGCCCCGTGGGTGCTTTCTCGCATGCTGGCTCTCCCCGGCTCTCCCCAGCTCGCACTCTCCCTGTCTCTCTCCAAGGAGTGCATACACCCTCCAGCAAATTAGAAGGAAAAAAGCACCATTTGTAGTAAAACGAAGTGGCTTTAGGAGCAGCAAGGACGGAGGGAGGCAGGGCAGGGGGTGGTCACTGAGAGAAGCATGCGGGGGCGGGGGGAGGGCTGGCTAGAGCAGCCCCCGGGGCTTACCCCTGACTCTGCAACTCAAGGCCTGCAGGGGGATGTGGTACCCCCTTCCTAGCGAGTGGTTGCTGCTGACCCAGGGCATGGAGGGGGCTCCACGGCCCAGGGCATGAGCCCGTGGCCCGTGTGGGGAGCACCTGGGAGAAGGCGCCTGGGAAGCCCAGGCAGTGGCAGAGGGGACCCTCAGGCTGCCCCCACAGCACACGGCCGGGTAGCTCCCAGCCATGACCCTAACGTCCACGTCGGAGACCTAACTCGGACACAAGCTAGAAACAAGGCAGCCAAGGGGAGGTCCCCGCATGGAACTCCAGACCACCCTGCCTGCAGTCTCCATGTACTCACCTGGGACTGGGGCTTCCACCAATCCAGACATCCAGAGAAACTTAACTTCAGTACAGACAGAACTGCTGTCCAAGAAGCGTGTCTTCTCCATTTAGGAATGGGGAGATTAGTACTTAATTTAACTCTGATGCAAAATTATAAGTGTAAAATGTAAACACATGGTAACTGTGATATGCTGGGACAGTGAATTTCAGCACTGAGAGTGTATTGTCAGTAGAACGCAGCATTTGAGCCAATGTCACGTCAGTGTCACGTCCCATTTGGTGCCCAAACGGAAGGTGCCACCCTGTGTCCTTGTCTAGGGGTTTACTGACGGAGACCTGCTGAAGATCCAGTTCGGAGGTGCGAACGTCTCCGGGTTCCAGATAGTGGACTACGACGACTCCTTGGTGTCCAAGTTTATAGAACGGTGGTCGACTCTGGAAGAGAAGGAGTACCCCGGGGCACACACAGCCACCATCAAGGTTTGCTTTGTTCCCTTCCTGCCTGCGGAGGGAGGGGCCCTGCAGAGCACAGGAAGGAAGAGCACGGGGCGGGGGAGGGGAAATGCCTCCATTGGGGTTGAAAGCCCTCCATCTGGGGAGGTGGGCATGTCCACAAGACCCCGTGATGGACTGGGGAGGCAGGCATGTCCACAAGACCCTGTAATGGAGAATTCATTCTCCCGTGCAATGCGCCCATCCGTGTGGGCCGGGACACTGGCGGTGGCCAGGACAGCTTGTTGCCCGACCTGGGCGGGGTCTCGTCAGTGGCTGGGTGGGAAGAAGGGAACGGGAGGACTGGTGGGGAAGATGCTTGGGCAGGAGCCAAGCACACCCCAGACTCAGTGTGATGGAGCGCGGCCCTGGCCTAGGGTGCTGCAAGGACTCCCGTGTTCGGTGTGGGCAGAGTCCTGTGGGTCCTGTGAGAAGTGACGCCCTGCCTGTCTACGGCGGTCAGGGACACCACAGTGCAACTGCAGCCGGTCTTGGCTTGCATGTGTGGAGGGAGAAAGAGCAGTCTGAGGGCCGTGGCGTCCCCTCTGTGAGCAGGCGGCATGTTCTCAGGTGGGACTTGCCCGAGGGAAGGGGCAGGTGTCTCCAGCCAGCCAGCACTCCCACGAGGGCGCTTCCTCTGCGTCACCTCCGGGTCGTGGACCGTACCAGGTACATCGCTGACAATTTAACTCCGTCTGCTCCACAGTGCAGACCAGTGTACAGGGTTACCAGCAGCTCAGACCTGTGAAGACACAGCCATTAGGTGCCTTCCTCCCTGTCAGGCTCTGGAAACTACGTGAAGATCACGTTGTAGGAGGAGCAAGCAGACAATTAGCTCCAAGTTCTAGTCTTCCCCAGGCTCAGGTCTCTGTCACCTCCTTCCCTGTGGTCACATGTCACCCGTCAGGGAACCCCGGCAGCTCTGCCGCCACTCACCACCCTCTGCCAGCAGCCCGGGCAGCCTCCCTTGTCTGCGCCCTGGCTCCAGGGCAAGGTCCAGCCGCAGGGGTATTTAGACTGGAGAGTAAACCGAGGAAGAACGTCAGCTGTGTCAGGTGCACTCCTCCGCCCAGTGCTGGACGCAGGGAAAGGCCCTCCAGGGAGCGAGTGGGAGCACAGACCTGGAAGAGCAGCGGAGCCAGGAGAAGGCGGAGGGGCAGCCGCTCCAGGTGGAGGAGACAGGACCCGCAACGTCAGGGGCTAGGGAAACGCGCAGCTTCGAGAGGCTCTGAGGAACGTGCCGAAGTCAGACTTCGGGACACCTGGACCCAGACCTCACAGGTCTGATGACAGAACAGGAACATCTGTCTTACTCGGAGAGCAGCGGGGAGCCGGGGGAGGGGATACTGACTGTGGGGCATTCTCATGGCTGCCCTGTTAGAGCAGGTCACAGGGAGGGGGACAGGGGACAGGGAAGCTTTCAGCGAGTGTCACTCCCAGGCCAGGCAGGAGAGGACCTGGCTGGGGTCGCGGCCGTGGTGCAGAGGTGGGTGGACATGGCTGGCCTGGCTCAGGAATGAGACCGGACGGCGGCGAAGGGGAACCGCAGACGCCCTGTGCAGTACGGGCACAAACCCACTGGCAGGTGTGAAGGGAGGGGGACAGGGGACAGGGAAGCTTTCAGCGAGTGTCACTCCCAGGCCAGGCAGGAGAGGACCTGGCTGGGGTCGCGGCCGTGGTGCAGAGGTGGGTGGACATGGCTGGCCTGGCTCAGGAATGAGACCGGACGGCGGCGAAGGGGAACCGCAGACGCCCTGTGCAGTACGGGCACAAACCCACTGGCAGGTGTGAAGAACAAGGTCTGAAGCACACTACCTACAGCTGGCCCCCTCCCCTGACTTCCACGGTGTTCCTGCTCCGACAGACCCCGGGTGGGGGTCGCTGGCAGTTAAGATCGTTACGAAAGGAGAAAGCGTGAACCGACCGCCACCCCGGAACCAGCGTGAGCTCCTGCCGTGTGTTCTTTGGCAGCAGGTACTTTACCGGACACCGTGAGGGACTGTCGTGCTCGGCTGGGACTCACCATGATCCCGGGACTTCAGGGGAAGTCGGTAGAGCAAAACAGGGCCAGCAGCTGGCATAGTGGTCACGTCGCTGGGCTCCCACGTGGCCATCCACAGCCGAGTCCCGGCCATGGAGGCTGCAAGTTCATACTGGCACATGTGCGTGCATGCCCACAATCCCAAGAGGAGAGGAGGAGAAGGAGTTGTAGCATGGCGTCTGCCAGGGTGGGGTCTCTGGCTCTTGTCTCTCTGTCTCTCTGTCTCTCTGGTAAGCACATCTGCCCGATAGCAGAAATCTCTCTAAAAGAAAAGAGAAAAAGGCAGATAGAGTACAAAGATTATTTGCCACCAGCTCAGAAATTATTTCCAAGTATTTCTGTTTTTAGGCAGAGTTAGAGTGTTTTCAGTGTCTCAGACAATTGCGAAGTGCGACAGTCCCTCCCAGCAGGTCACGCACTGCTGTGTGGCTGTGTGCCTCCCGCGCCCGCAGTGCCGAGGAATTCGGCCATCACCGGTGCCACTGTCCCTGTGCCCATTTACTCGGGCAGTGACAGCACAGGCTCAAGCGTTCCTAATTGCCATCCTAAGAGAGCGATTAGGCCTGTTTGGAAACAACCCCGTCTTTTTCAGTCCAGTAATTAGCGTGCGTTAGATGGCACCCTGGTGGCCCGAGGAGTTTATCTGCTGCTTGAGTGTTGTAGCTGCCCCGGCCCAGCTGGCTCATCTCAGTCGTCCCTCCTAATAGTAAAGCCTTTGCCCACCACAACCTGGCCACACCCCACCTGCGTGGAGAAGGGAGTGCGGAGTGGCCACACCTCGGGGGTCGCTCTCCCTGCCTGCCTCTCTCTGGTGAGTGCACCACCGGTGGTGACAGGAATAAGCACAGGCAAAAGCAGTGTGTACGTGACCGCGACAACCCATGATTAGGAGCTCAGTATCGGGCCAGTGGATGGCGTAGCGGTTGTGCCACTGGACTCCCACGTAGTCGACCCCTGTTTGAGTCCTGAACCTGGCAGCTTAAAACTCACCCCAGAGCATGTGGGTGCCCAAAATCCAGAGAGGAGAGTGGAGAAGTGGCCGCCCCCCGGGAGTGACATCTTGCTTTCTGTCTGTCTCTCCTGCAAGCACACATGCCCTATAGCAAGAATCTCTCCAAAAAATGAAAATTTGGTATTGATAAAATTATGTATTTTTAAAAATTGACAAAAAATTCGCTCTCTGTCCCGCCATTACACGTAAAAACGTGTCATCAGTGCCTTCACCGCGGTGCGGCCGCTCGGGCTCGTGTGCTGTCTCTGCAGGAGCATGTGCCGCTGGGCTCTAGGTTCCTCCCAGCGCCGTGACTCCGGGAGGCACTGAGCTGGGGCGTCCAGGCCCACACGAACATCTCTGCCACGTCTGCGACCTGCCCGCGCCCTCCTCCTCCCAGAGGCCGAGGGCTCCTGGGCAGGGTGGACTTGGCCCCCCAGGTGCCGGAACTGAATGCTAGAGTGCCCTGGGCACTGTCTGTTCGTTTGATAGACTGTAGAAGTCGGAGACTGTCACCTTGCTAGATCCCTAGGCATGAGGAGTCGGGAAATGGGACGATGCAAACAGTAACATAAAACAGCTCCTTGAGGAAGTCTACCTGTGGCTGAGTCAAGGCAGGGGAATGCGCGGCGCCAGGGCCTTTTCTCTGCCTTGGCGAGTCCGATTAGCTCGACCTGAACTTCCGAATCCTTAAGTGATCTAGAGTTCCCGAATAGGAAAGCCTTGGTTCTTAGGGGCAACTTCAGTCAAGGCGAGTAAATAATCTAGGTAGTTCAGGCCCAAATTCGTCGTTTTAAATGTATTCCTGTTACCTGATGAGCCTTCTCGGTAGTTGACTAAAATCGCCGTATTATTCACGGGGATATGGATAATGCTACTCCTGGTGTCTTGCCAAGAGGGCCTTTTCACCCTCGGAAGAGGTGCAGCTGTGTGCTCAGCAAGGCTGCAATGTTTTATGAGGGCTCCGTGACGGCACGCTGAAGTTGCAAAGGGTGCGTGTTCCAAACGCGTCCCCGTGAGTTGAAGGTGACCTTTTCCATAGGGCGGGCGCCACCACGCCCTTGAAGGCGACCTTTACACAGGTGCTCTTTTCCAGATGGCTGCAGCGGAATTTGAAATTAAGACAAGTGCGTAATTTCCAGTTTATAAGGTGTTTTCTCAAACTACCCTTTTTCAGTGACTTTATTTAATTCTCAGTCATTGCCGAGGATCTTAAAGACTCGCTGAGCTTCGTCCGACAGGTTCCCTCTCCCCAGAGCTCACCACGCCCGCTCCTTGTGGTGCCGGGGAGTGGACTGAAGCCAAGCATCGGGCTGTCAGACCCTCTGGAGAAACAGCCCCTGCCTGAAATGACTATGTTAACAATCGATGCCGTCTAGCAACTAGGAGGATTTTCCAGGCCGGGAGGCTTTTCACATCACCATGTGTGCTTCACAAAATGCCCTTTTCGGAGCGCGGTGTTGGAGGAGCTTGAAATGCAGTGGTTAGTGCAAGCGGCCCCAGAGCTGCCCCTGCAGGGCTCTCTGGGCCTAGCTGCCACGTCAGCGTGAGAAGCGTCTTCTGAAGTTATTGGGTCACAGGACTCCGGTTTTGTGGAGTCAGAGCCTGGTTTGTAACACACTAGAAACAGATCCTTCTACAGCTGGGTGGGTGGTCCTAAAGGAAACAGCGCTCCCGGGCTCGGTAACTGGCGTTTTTAACACACTTCACAACTCCCGACTTCTCCTTCCCTGTACACCCACGTCTTTGCTGTCGAATTTGCAAGTGAAGTGACCAGCCGTCCCAGGGGCCCGGGACGAAGGCTGTCCTGGACTTGTGGCTCAGCTCCCAAACCCGGACAGGCCAGGCATGCGGGCCACCCTCCTCAGCAGCGTCACAGACGTCAGCGTCACATCCTACACTGGGCACCTGCTCCTGTGACCTTGTGTAAACGGAAATGTGACAGCCAGGTCTCCC